TGTACATACGTACATGACAGTTCAAGTTGCCTTAATACATTAGCACAGCGAATGAATAACCAATACAAATACCATAGTACAAGTATTAGCATAGTGGAGAATATTCGGGTTCGAAGATATTATTCAAGAAGCATAATCTAGTGAAATAAATCCAAAGGAGAAAAAGGAAGTTCTTAAGGAATTCCGAAGACTAGAATTTTATAGAAAACGAAGAATGGATGCACCTTCACCATTGCAAATAATCTTGAGCAGACATTCAAACTCTCTAACTATGGGTTACCATAGTCTCGTAGAATACAACCACGTAGCCTACACCTACAAGCACGGCTCAGCCCAATTGTTAGTGACGTTATGGATTTGTGCCGCCCATAGACTTTTTGCAACCTACATCCACACCACAAAATGTAGCTCATCGAAGCAGTCTGTCGCTGGGCATTCATAACATGTCTTAACTACCTCAAATAATGAAGTCTCAACACGTCATCCCTACTTAGTACCCATCTCCTAACTGCAGCATTGTTTACTTGATTGTCCCAAATTACACGAATAATGTTTCGTAGACATCCCTGATAGAATACTGGCAACATACACCCCCAGTATAATAGGATGGAGCGAATCGATAAGTAGTAGACTCATCCTCTAGTTAACAGAGGGATATCTCACCTAAGCAATCAGTGACACGAGTTGACAAAGACAGTCAAGAATGTATCCATGCTGGGATTTCCAAGGAGAAACGCATGACTAATATGCTCGCACTGTTGCTTAAGGTGATAAGAAGACTGCATTTATTCATGTCCTCCCCGAATAGAACTGTTTCATCAATAAACAAGTCTTCCGGTAAACGTTCAACCCCTATAAAGTCAGAAATCAAAGTATCGTCTCTAAATCAGGTCAATAACAAAGTTGAGTAAAAATGGAGAAAGCGAACAATCCTGAGGAACACCATTTTAAGTGACTGACTCCGGTGACAGTTCATTATAAGCTTCCTCTAGATCAGACAGACAGATACAACTGAGAACTTCGTACGTACGCACATTAGTTCAGGTTGCCATACAGCATCGGCACAGAGACGTAACTGTCAGTTCAAATCCAATAGTGATAGAGATAGTAGGATTATTAGCGGTTAAGGAGAGAGCTATGTTCAAAGATATTATTGAATAAATATAATTCAGTGAGATAACTTCAGAAACCGAAAGATAGAAGTGACGAGATATTCAGAAGATTAGAATTTCTGAGAACACAAACAGTAAATATACCTGTGCCACTGCAAACGATTTTGAGCCATGTCGTTCAAGGTCTCTAACCATTGGTGACTTTCGTCTCGCGGACCGCAATCACGTAGCCTAGATCCGCCAGTATGACTCAGTCCACTTGTGCCATGTTTTGGTTTCGCCGCCCCTAGATTTCTTCCAAACTATTCCTACACCATAAAACATAGCTCGTCGAGGCAGTCTATGTTTGGGCATTAGTAAAACATGTCTCAACCACCTCAAGTGATGGAGTTTCAATGCTTCATCTATTGATCTACCATCCATACCTATATCTCGTTTCCTAATGGCATTGCTCACTCGGTTGTCCCAGGATATACGAGTAATGCTTCGGAGACACCTATGATCGGAGAAAAGCAATCTACAAATATCCTTTACTCTTGAAGGCCATGTTTCGCATCCGTATAGTAGGACGGAGCGGACTACTGCGCAGTACACTCGTCTTTTGGTTAGCGAACGGATATCTCGCCTACGCTATAAGCGACGCAATTTGACAAAGACCAGTCGGGCCCTCGTTATCCGCGTTGAGATTTCGTCAGTCACCAGGTCATCAGCGCTGATGAGATTCTCAACATAAGTGAAGCTGTCAACGCGCCTAACTACTTCACTAATTATCACTAGTTCAGGTGCCGACGCAACCCAATGCTGAAGCAACATTTCGCATCCCGAACATGCTTGCATTATTGCTTATGGTAGTCATAAGACTCTGAATTTTGTTAGCATCTTCACCGAATAGAACTATGTCATCGACATATTCTAGGTCAGTAGGCGATTTTCCTGGTAGAAGGTCGACTCCTGTAAAGTTGAACTAAGATAATGTTATATCTAGCAGCATATCTATGACAACATTAAACAACAATGGGGAAACTGGACATCCGTGACGGACACCACTTAAAGTAAAGGATTCCGGTGACAGTTCACCATAGGCTCTCACCCGACCAGTAGTTTTAGAGTGGAAAGCTTGTATAAGGTTGATGTACTTCTTCGGTACACCTTTCAATGACAGACACTGCCACAGAACCTCACGATCCACTGAGTCAAACGCCGCTTTGAGGTCGAGAAATACTACTATTGTGGGGCGTCTGAAAGTGCCTTTGTTCAAGGACCTGACGTGGTGTGAATATTTGGTCTACACATCCACGTCCAGGTCTGAAACCAGCCTGGTTTTCTCTAGTCTGCTCTTCACGAGCTCTAGTTAGGCGTCTAAGTATAATCGAGGCTAACAATTTAGAAACTATATTACTCAGACTGATTACTCCCACTTCCCAGATTCTACTTAAGATTTTAGTCAATCTGAATGGTAAAATTGAACCACCATCCTTAAATATCTCAGGGGTCAATCTATCCAGTCCTGCTGCTCTCTCTCTCGCTTCAGGTTTCCTATTGCTTTCTCAACTTCATAAAGACTAGGGGGACTTATGACGGTCTCTAATTCAGCATGACTGGAGATCGTGGGCAACCGAAGTGTGGCTGAATGCCAGTTAAACTGATCCCTGAAGTGTTCTACCCATCGATCCGATCTCCTCGATTGAGAATGAATAATAGTCCCGTCCTTTTCCTAGGTATTCTCACTCACATTCGGATTCCAAATACCAGTTTTCTTGATAAGTCGGAACAACTGTCTACTGTTGCCTGTCGCCGCTGCCTTTTCCATCTCTCTAGCTTTCACTACCCACCACTGTTCTCGATCATTGCGTTGGCTTTTTATCAGCCTGCAGCTGAGCTGACTCCGCTCCTCATCATGCTCAGGGCCAGGCGGGATAAGTTTCCGTGCATCCATCAGTTCGGTAGATGCTACTGAGATCAACGCCTTCTTCCTAATCTTATGGTTTACCTTACTAGAAGATATCACTGCCGTTTCCACAGCCTTTTTGATGTCATCCAAGCTGCATGAGGGTTGGAACCACTTACGCGACTACCTAACTGTTTTTTCTAGTTGTTCCTGAAATATATTCTTAGCTCTGTTATCATTAGGGTGAACCCTAAGAGGTATTTTTGCGCTGTCTTTCCTACCTGCGGCAAGTAGCAAGCAAATACGTGCTCGCACTAGGGCATGATCTGAATCTAAACATGTGCCCCAAACGAGCGGCAGTCCTCTATCGAACCCCTCCATCGGTGGCTGATGGCGATATCATCTAGTTGGGTCCAACGTTGAGACGACTTTGGAGGTCTCCAGGTCAAAAGATGTTTTTCTATATGCTTAAAAGTAGTGTTTGCTAGAAATAAGCGGTTATCTGAGCATAGTTGCAACAGACAGTCGCTATTGTCTGTTCTTTCAGCCACGACACCATAACATCCACCAAGGTGTCTTTCATTTTCACTTAGTCTACCTACTTGAGAATTGAAGTCACCAGCCATTATAACTATATCAGAGCGCTTAACTTTTTGGAGGTCCGAAAGCTTTCTGTAAAACTCATCTTGAAATGGTGGAGAAAACTTGTAGCTCAGGTGGATGATTGTGGTGGTGTTTCGTTCTCTAAGCTGGTTGTTTTGGTTGTGGAGCTTTCATTGTTCTTCTGAACAACATCATCAGCACGAACTTCAGATAGAAGTAAAATTCATCTTTCACCTCATCTGAACTGCAGTCATTGGGAGCGTAGGCGGAGACAACGAAGTTTCCCTATCTTTCCGAATTTTTACTTTTCTACTCATTCGGACAACGCACAAGCGACTATCTACTGGGATCAGGTAAGGAGAGCTAGTTCTGCTCCAAGACTCAATGCTATACCTACACCAGCGAGCCCCGGGAAGCAGCATCAAAGCTCCCAGATTAAGGAAGAGTAAATCGAACTGCTTCTTCATTCTGACAAGGTGAAATCAATTTAATGGCAGCATCGCTGCAGATGCTGGTTGTCCGAGGGGGACACCTTACTGCTGTCACACCCCTCTGCAGTCAGCAGTACGACTTCACCCTCAGACCTTGAGTCTTACCGTTCTCTAATCGTCTTGTCTGACATGGTAGAACCTAATTTCCATTCAATATAGCTCCGTTGGGTCATCACGATAGGCAAGCCCGACCACCACGCCAAGGTAGTAGTACGGTCGGGCTTCCTCTAGACCAGTGGTGTTCGAATAGAGAGCTTGTATTAGTTTAAGCTACTTCTTTAGTATACCTTTCAATGACAGACATTTTCACGGACCTCACTTTCGACAGAATCAAACGCTGCCAGGTAACACAGAAATTGTTGGACGACAAGTATTTTAGGGCCTGACGAAGTGTGAGTTTCTGACCCATACATCCACGTATAGGCCTGAAACTAACCTGATAATTTCAAGTCTGCTTTTTACGAGCCCTAGTTAGGCGTCGAATTATTAATAAAGGTCAACATTTTAGATACTATATTAGTTAGACTGATTTGTGATTATCACAAGTGCTTATTTGCTTTCTGACAGGTTGGGACAATCAGTGATTAAGATCAGTTATATGGGATTACGTCAAGTTCCCAGATCCTACATAAGATTTCTGTCAAACTATGGGCCAAAACTAGACCAGCATTGTTAAAAATCTCAGGGGTACATCCATCATGTTAATTAGGAAATGTTTTGTCTCAAATTTATACATGGCCACATCCCGACTCCAATCAAGGGCTGCGTAACATGTGGCAACCACTTAATCGAAGGTTAGTCCTAACTACTTAATAGGGTACGTTTTGAATAGAAATTCATTAACATAATATTTAGCAACGATCGCCTTATTTACAAAAGACGGCACTTAATACAACAATAAAAAAACTCAAGTCCAAAATTTATACGTAAACATTAACAACAACGCAGTCGGAAAAATAATACTTTCACTAACTGACAACAAATGACCAATATTGTTTACAGTATCTCGCACTACGTAAACTGAAATAATCGAAACTTCGTTGTTATAGTGTATTACTGTACATTCCCAAAACCAGTAGGATGAATAAGTAATAAGCTACAAAAACAATTAGTGTAACACAAACTTCCGAAATCTAGAATTAAAACGAATGGTATTAGACCAGTATACTTCAGAAAAAATTTGCAAGAACAAATTAATAAACGGTGATTTATTTTAGTTCATTAATTTAAAAACAAGGCGTAGATGATGGTTAATGCCTCATTCCAGGAGGTCGAACAGGTGTATTATCTTCATTAGCCTTTGATTCCGGGTTTTTGATGGTTTCATCTACACTTAACAGAAGACAAGCAGCTTCAGTAGCCGATATGATAGAATTGCTTTTTACAAGTGCTGGTTCCCAGACGCCACTTTCAAAATTGTCAGATACACACTCCTTTTCAATGTTAACACCATACCAAACATCGCCTAAAACAAGATTATGAGAATAACATGAGAAATTGTACAGTTTTACTTCCTAAAGCTAATAGATGCAAAACAAAAAATTGGGCATACTACATTATGACGAATCACTACCAGCATTTTGATGTTTTTACAATAGTTACAACTTTTGAGTTTTTAAGTGTATCAAACTGTAGGTAATAAACATTGATGGAGGTCTGTGCTGCACAAAACCAGTATCAATTACTTTGATCTTCGATAGTCAATAGACCATTAAATACTAAACGGCTAAAAACTTTATTTTCAGATTTTACCTTTATGGAAAAAATTGGCCTAAGTGTAAGAACCCATACATGGTTACATTCTCCTCAAAAATGTAGTCCAACTTATTGATAGAAACAAAATTTTATGAGTAACGACTAAGTATCGACTAATCAACTTAGCAGGTACTAAAAACTTGATTTTATTTGGTGCGCCAGATATTTCTTCAAAACATCTAAGTAGATGTGGCAGAAAACTAGTGATGGATCGGGATGAGAACGTATGCAGCAATAGCTACTCAATTGTACAAAAATATAACTACTGTGAGAGCTAGGAAAAGATGTTGAGATTTTTGCTGACACAACTAATTAATTCAAATAAATAACGGTTGAGGCACTAAGCACTCAGTCACAAGTTGAAACAATAATTTTTAACTTTGGTTTGGGTAACCGAATAATACTACCGACGTCCACAAACACAAGCATGGTTCAGAACTGAGTATTTAATCTCCCGCTTGATTACTAAGTGTGAATGAAATAGTGAGGTATTTTAATTTTGTGTAACATATGCAAATGAACATGATACCTTTCGCATGACTATGACGAAGTTGGTTTAGAATTATGGTTGAATCCAAACCAGCATTATCGCACAACTGTCTAGGGATAACTTCAAAAGCTCTAGCCATAGCGCTTATCAACAACTGTTCACGCCCACCGATTTGAAGGGCTTCTTTGCGAAGATACCCACTAAGTTCCATCTCAGTGGCTCCACCACCTGTGTAGAGAAAGGATAAAAATAAGGATTTAAATGATGAGTTTAACATGTCCATAGAAAACACAAAACAATTAGATTTCCTTACCAGCAACAAACGCATCGTTTTTAACAGCTCTTCGAACTACCATGATAGCATCATGCAGCGACCTTTCCGTTTCTTCCATGAACTGTTCCGCTCCACCACGAAGTATAACTGTGCATGTATGAGCTTGTGGACAGCCTCTGAATATATTAAATCTAAAATCATAAAACGGAAACAAAAACTGTATGGTAATCAAGCAAAAAAAAATATGGGGAGAACAAGTACGACTTTTGAAACGTGTTCGTAAATCTTTAATTGATATTTATTTGAGAGGATAAAGTGAAATTAGCAAATCCGTCTAAAATTATAGTGATTCAATACGCATTGCCAACTTACATAAAAAATGTGAAACCGAAACAAGGGTTTATGAAATGAAAACGCTTCTAGTATTTTGAATTCCAGTTTTTATAATGAAATTCAATGAACCTGTAAACTATGTACATATTGATTAAAGCTACACCTAGTATGACGAACATCCCCGAACAAGGGTCGAATATCAGTCAGTAAGCCACAACGTAGAACTTCGTACGTACGTACGTTAGTTCAGGTTGCCATACCGCATTGGCACAGAGACACAACTGTCAGTTCAAATCCAATAGTGGTAGAGATAGTAGAAGTATTAGCGGTTATGAAGAAGATTAATGTTCGAAGATATTATTCAATAAATATAATTCAGTGAGATAACTTTAGAAAGAGAAAGATAGAAGTGATGAGGAATTCAGAAGATTAGAATTTCAGAGAACACAACGAATGGATGCACTTGCGCCATTGCAAACGATTTTGAGCCATGTCGTTTAAGGTCTCTAACCATCGGTTACTTTCGTCTCGCGGACCCCAACCACGTAGCCTACATCCACCAACATGACTCAGTTCACTTGTCAGTGATTTCATGGATTTGTGCCATGTTTTGGTTTTGCCGCTCCTAGATTTCCTCCAACCTACTCCTATACCACAAAATAACGCTTGCCCAAGCAGTTGGTGTTTAGGTGTTTCGCATCCGTATAGTAGGACGGAGCGAACTGCTACGCAGTACACTCATCCTTTGGTTAGCGAACGGATATCTCGTCTACGCCATCTGTGACGCAAGCTGACAAAAACCAATCGGGCCTTCTGTATCCGTGCTGAGACTTCGCCAGTCACCAGGTCATCAGCACTGATGAGACTCCCAAGATAAGTGAATGTCGTCGCACATTGTTCTCACATAGCTTGATAGCTGAATCCCTATACTATAGTAGTATTAAAGTTACTTGAATCGTTTAATAACACATATACAAAGATCAACTGATGCGCTAAAAACAATATCCATGTAAAATAACCCACTAGTAACCTTAATAATACACATCAAATACAAAAGACTTAAGTAAAACTTCTTTATTACCCCACCTTTCAGATCCAATCTGAATTTCTTCAAAAATTTCACAAGTTCCGAGCGCGCTATCTGTGAGTCCATGAACAGTTGTTTGGACGCTTCCACCACAAGCCATTTGAGTACGTTTTAGATCATCTTCAGGTACACGACCAGCGCAAAACATATCGCGATCAGCAAAAAACTGAGTGGCCACGTCTCCAATAGGCAACTTGGATAAAACAATTTTAACTCCTTGTTTATGCAAAATATCCAACTTATCATAAAGAATTTGCCACTCCGCATCAACAACTTTCTGATACTCCTAAAATTACACAATATTTATACGACAGAAAGTAATCCATACCTCTACCGAATTGACACGAACTTCAGCATTCTCTTTTTCAGCTTTTAGTTCTAATTCTATGTTCAAAAGTGCAATTTTCGGAGACTTGTAAGATTTTGGTTGCATTTCAAAACCAGCATAACTGAAAGTTTTCTTAAATGCTACACCTGCAATCAGAACTGAATCTTCTAATGCTCCACCAGAAACCTAGAAAAAGAAAAAAGAAAGTTACAAAGCTTTAGCATACTGATCGTCAAAACATATATTATATTCAGTCAGTCAGTTGCAACGTAGAACTTCGTACGTATGTACATAAGTTCATGTTGCCATACAACATTAGCACAGAGACGCAAATGTCAAATCAAATCCCATAGTGATAAAGATAGTAGAGGTATTAATGGTTATGAAGAAGACTAGGGTTTGAAGATAGTATTCAAGAAACATAATTCAGTGAGTTAAGGTTAAAAAGACAAAGGTACAGGTGTGACAATTCCAGATGATTAGGATTTGAGAGAGCTCAAAGAATGGATGCACTTGCGCCATCGCAAACGATTTTGAGCCATGTCGTTTAAGGTCTCTAACCATTGGTGACTTTCGTCTCGTGGACCCCAACCAGGTAGACTACATCTACCAACATGACTCAGTCCACTTGTCAGTGATTTCATGGATTTCTGTCATGTTTTGGTTTGGCCGCCCCTAGCTTTCTTCCAAACTACTCCTACACCACAAAACATAGCTCGTCGAGGCAGTCGATGTCTGGGCGTTCGTAACACATGTCCCAACCACCTCAGCTGATGAAATTTCAATGCTTCATCTATTGATCTGCCATCCTTACCTAGCACCCGTTTCCTAACGACAGCATTGCTTACTCGGTTGTCCCACGGTATACGAGCAATGCTTTGAAGACACCTATGATCGAATACTAGTAACCTACGAACATCTTCTACTCTTAACGGCCATGTTTCGCATCCATATAGGAGAACGGAGCGAACTACTGCGCAGTACACCCGTCCTTTGGTTAGCAAACGGATATCTCGTCTACGCCATATGTGACGCAAGCTGACAAAAACCAACCGGGCCTTCTGTATCCGTGCTCAGATTTCGTCAGTCACCAGGCTATCAGCGCTGATGAGACTCCCCAGATAAGTGAAGCGATCAACACGCTCGACTACTTCACTCCCTATCACTAGTTCAGGTGCCAATGCAACCCAGTCTTGAAGCAACATGTTGCATTTCGAGGGGAAAAACCGCATCCCGAACATGCTCGCATTGTTGTTTATGGTAGTCAGAAGACTGCATTTTGTCAGCGTCTTCACCGAATAGAACTATGTCATCGGCATATTCTAGATCAGTAAGCGATTTTCCTAGTAGAAGGTCAACCCATAAAAAATCTGACGAGCTTAATGTTAACTCTAAGAGGATGTCTACGATAAAGTTAAACAAGAATGGAGAGAGTGGACAGCCCTGACGGACACCACTTGATGTAGAGAATTCAGATGACAGTTCGCTATAAGCTCTCACTCGACCAGTAGTGTTCGAGTAGAGTGCTTGTATAAGGTTAATGTACTTCTTTGGTACACCTTTCAATGACAGACACTGCCACAGAACCTCACGATCCACAGAGTCAAATGCCGCTTTTAGGTCCAGGAACACGACTATTGTCGGACGTCTAAATGTGTGTCTGTGTTCCAGGACCTGTCGTAGTGTGAAGATGTGGTCTATACAACCACGTCAAGGTTGAAAACCAGACTGGTTTTCTCTAGTCTGCTCTTCACGAGCTCTAGTTAGACGTCTAAGTATAACTGAGGCTAACAATTTAGAAACTACATTAGTTAGACTTATTCCCCCATCGATCCAGTCCCCTGGATTGAGAATGGATAATAAGACCATCCTTTTCCGAAATAGTCTCACTCACATTCGGGTTCCTAATACCGGTTTCTTCAATGAGGCGGAAAAGTTGTCTAGTGTTGCCTATCGCCGCTGCCTTTTCCATCGCTTTTGCTTTCGCCACCCACCACTGTTCGCGGTCGTTACGTAGGCTTTTTATAAGTCTGTGCCTAAGCTGACTACGCTCTTCATCATGTTCAGAGTCAGGTAGGATGCGTTTTCGGTGGATGCGACTGAAATCCACGGCTTCATCCTAGCCTTATGGTCAACCTTACTAGCAGATATCACTGCTGTTTCCACAGCCTTCTTGATATCATTCCAAACTGCCTCCGGATGGGAATCACTTGCACGGTCGCATAACTGTTTTTCTAGCTCCTCCTGAAATATTTTCTTAGCCTGAGTATCATTAAATAAAGCCCTAAGAGGCTTCCTTACGGTGTCTTTCCTACGTCCAGTAAGCCTCAAACAAATACGCGCTCGCACTAGAGCATGATCTGAATCTACACATGTGCCCCAGAACGAGTGACAGTCCTCTATCGAACCTCTCCATCGGTGGCTGATGGCGATATCATCTAGTTGGGTCCAACGTTGAGACGACTTCGGGGGTCGCCAGATCAAAAGATGTTTTTCCTTATGCTTAAAATTAGTGTTTGCTAGAAATAAGCGGTTATCTGAGCACAGTTGCAACAGACGGTCGCCATTGTCTGTTCTTTGAGCCACGACACCATAACATCCACCTAGGTGTCTTTCATTTTCACTTAGTCTACCTACTTGAGCATTGAAGTCACCAGCCACTATAACTATATCAGAGCGCTTAACTTTTTGGAGGAGGTCCGAAAGCCTTCTGTAAAACTCATCTTTTACATCATCTGGACTGCAGTCAGTGGGGGCGTAGGCTGATATGACGAAGAGGCAACGACGAGTGTCCCTATCCTTTCGAATCCTTACTGTCCAGTTTAGTCGGACGGCGCACAAGCGGCTCTCTACAGGGATCCAGTCAAGGAGAAATTGTTCTGCCCTACGACTCAATGCTATACCTACACCAGCGAGGCCCCTGGAAGCAGCATCAGGGCTACCGGATACACGAAGGTTAAATCGAGTTGCTTCTTTATCTTGACATGGTGAGGTCAAGTGAATGATGTTACTCGGATCCTGTATGCGCGTTTCCGAGACGCAGCATACATCAATTGAGCGAGATTCTGAAGTCCTAGCTAATGAAGCCTGTTGCCCTATTTGACACAATGTCCGTACATTAAATGCTCCAACATGTAGTCTAGAGCGGGGTTTCAGGAGACAAGGAATGACGTTTCGTGAACTCGCATCGTTTGCATTAGCTGTGCACTGTGATAAAGGAATGTGAGAAGAGTTAGTTGTGGAGATAAAAGAGGTACTAGGGGGTGTAGGAAGGATTTGATTTTGACCAATTTGGTCTCGTGTGCTGTTACGGGTATGAGGGCGGTTGTCACTTCCCGACTGCCCACACCGTCGAAGATTGTTTCTTGAGGGACCTAAAAAGGAAGGTAGATTAGCGTTAGTCTGAACGACCTGGGAGCGTTACCGCAGAGACAAAGGGACAACTGCTTGAGGCCGGTCACGCACGGCTTTTTTATTAAAGGTTTTTTAACTATTAGCTCCGCTCTTGAAAGCCCTTAGTGGGCACCCTTACCGACGGAGACGGAAACCCGTGAGGTAGGGTGAGGTGTGACAATTTTAGGGTCTACCTTTTCTAACCCTTCCTTCCTTGTGAGAAGGCAGAATCGCTGCAGATGCTGGTTATCTGAGGGAAACACCTTACTGCTGTCACACCCCTCTGCATTCAGCAGTACGACTTCACCCTCAGACCTTGGGTAGCTGCTTTTGGTCTCATCGTTATCCGATCGACCTGCCTGGCATGGTAGAACCTTCAGGAACATAAGTTTCAGTCGATAAAGCTCGGTTGGGTCATCACGATAGGCAAGCCTGACCACCACGTCAAGGTAGCAGCTTCGGTCGGGTAAACCTATTTAGGTGTTCTGTGTAGAATTCACATCTATTAAATATGAAGGTCAACATTATAAACAGTTGTTTCGCATAAGAGGAAAAAAGGTTCAGGAACTTAATTTGTAGTTAGTCCCTTCCCTGAAATCCTGTTACGTTGTTTGAAGATAAAAGATACGTGTGAAAATCTTGTTTCTATAAATTGTTCGGGTCAGAAACCACAGTCGCTAGATGGATCAGTTCCAAAAAACAAATATTATAAATACGTTAGAGTTTAGCTGATTGAGCATTCTGAAATTTGGTCAGTCTTGGATAAGACGTTGACATTTGAAGCGAATAGATAAGTCAGAATCCTAGAGTGGACATCAAATCCAGGATGTAGGTACACACAGCTAACGAATTGCCGATAGAACTACCAGCTACATTTAACTTATTCCATATAAACTTGTGTCATAACAACTACATCAACGTAATTCATGCAAGATGCATACATCCCAAGACTGATAAAATTCTAGTTAAAATATCGACAACACAATGATTCAAGCCATTACACACTAAAATAATTGTTTTTGACACTGAACTTTGAAAATCATAAGACTGGTTTGCATGAATTCAGAGTAGAGAATGTCAGAACAATGAAAATAATAACTAATTACTTACCTTTTTGATCCCAATCATCTTCAAAGGCAGATATGAATCCAACAAACTAACAGCATCAACAACCAATTTGGCAAAAAACTGTTTATGTCCAGCTACTAACTTAGAGCTTAGGGCAGTCGAAGCTAACTTTTCCAACAGAGCACGTTGTTCACTGAAAAAAGGTATATTAGGAGAGAAGTAAGAAGAGAATTAATCTATTAGTAAAGTGTTTTAATTTTGATAATGAATTTGTCACTAACTATGCATGTTTACGGATGTATGTGAAGTCTGAACAATGGAGTTCAGTGATGTTGGATGTCGGACAGTTATCCACTAGAGATAATTGAAGATGATCGAGTGACATCGTGAACTGACTATAGTTAGACATAACTATTTAAAATCTGTCTCAGTGATCTGGAGGTTAAGTGCTTGTACGCGAGACCGAAGCTCCTGGGTTTGATTTTATATCCGAGGTTTTGGATGTGCACAGTTCAGTCACATGCTAAGATTAAGCTGTCCAGTGCGTCTAGGTCTTTAGTAATTGCCCAAGATAAGTTTGTGATTTAAACTACGGAAACAAATATTCGAAAAAACGGTAGTATTTTGCAAACCTGATAGAAGTGCATTAACATTATGAAAATGATACCGATTATCCAGCAAAATAATTAAAAAGGTTACCTATGATTTTCTTGTTTCACGCGACAAGCTATAGTTTCTAATCTTTTTAATGCCATCTTCTCGCCGAGGTGGTATGCCCGAATAATAACAGATGGATGAACTCCTTCCTCAAGGAATGGTTTTGCTTGTTTCAGAAACTCAGTTGCCAAAAGTGTAACGCTTGTTGTTCCATCTCCTACTTCCGCATCTTGAGCACGTGCAATATCAACTAACGTACGCGCAGCGGGATGAACGATGTCCAAGAGCTTCAAAATTGTTGCTCCATCATTTGATATGGTGGCCTTTCCTTTGTCATCAATTATAAGCTTGTCCATTCCACGAGGACCAAGCGTGGAACGGACTGCATCAGAAACTGCTTCACAAGCGGTTATATTGCTTATTATTTGTGGAACCCCCTGTGATGAATCAGTGCCTTCTTTCAGAAGAATAATCCTAGCAGGTTGCTGAAAAGATAGTCAGATAAATTGATGTAGTGACGGAAAACAAATTAATATGATCAATCATGCTTCAACAGGATGGTTACATGTTAGCCACAGTCGGATTATTTGGAACAGATATTATTCATTTATTAAGCTTAGTTTTACTGTAAGGTTGATAAAAAATAATCAAGACAACCCAGAAATTGTATAATAGGCTACGAGCCAAAAGTACATTACTTCCCCTAAAAGATTAGTATAGAATTGCAACCAATGGGTGGCAAGCATAAACATTACTGAGGTGTAATGTATTTCTACGAAAATTCCAAAGTGATAAGTAGATTAATTACAAACACCTGGTAGTCATAAGTGGCAATATGTTAATCAAGAACTATGCATATCACAAAATAACCAAAACAGTTCTATATGAAGTGAGTCTAAAAGAAACCACCGGGAAAGACAATAAAAGCTCCATAATTAAGCCAATTAGAACGAAGAAATCAACATTTCTAAAGGCATGCGCCGGAGCTAATTTTTATAGCCAAAACAGTTTGGATAGCATGACTAAAATGAGAGGGTTGAACAAGAAAATCGCTTCAGATTATTCTGAAACATTATGTAGATCGAAGACTCAGTCTAAGTACACATAATCTAAGGGGATAAATAGTTAGTTATTTATTCAGCTACTTCATTGTTTTTATCTGCTAAATTGTTTTTAAAGTCTATTCTCTTATGACTGACTAACTGTGAATAGACCTTAACCAAATATAACCAATGTTCACACTGGTAAAAGGCAAAGGGTGTGGAAAGCGGACTGTAATCTTACTGATAGTTGAATAAACAGTTCCAGGTGTTGTGCTTTTATAGAAAAAAACATGATTGCTAACTGTTGTATATATATCTGGACAACTTACCACGTATGACAAGAAATCCTAAAGAGCCACAACGAATACTAAATCTCAAGTGAGTTATTTTAAACTCTAGAAGCACAGCTAGCATCCTAGTCATTGCATAAGACGTGCAAGGTTGGCTAGTGGATTTTCTCAACTTACTGTATAGGCTACTAGAATGGGTTTCGACAGCTCCAACCTAGTTATGGGACCAACGATGTCACATACATACTTGCTTGTCATAATAAAGTTTGACAAACGCTTCTTACTCCCTTCCCACTGAGGCTATTAAAGAGGATAATTTATCATAACACAAACACGATCAAAGTGAGACAATTCACTCAGAAGCAGGAGTACAAACCTTAACAATTAGGATTATTTAGCCACGCAACTTAATTCCATTATTATGCACGAAGGTAATATGAAACATAAAAACGAAGTCATTTTAATGTCATTTACCCACTTTTGTAAAGATAATTTACTTCAATGTGCAAGTACATAATGTTGAATAACTGACATATTCAGATATCATACAATAAATAACTAGTGTATTGAATGTAGCCGAAGTAACGTATCTAGTTTATGACAAGAATTAACAAAAGAAATAATTATTCAGATTACCAAACTCACAAGCATGGTTACTGTGTGCACCGCGCGCGCCTATAAATCCCAAACTTACAAACGAAGTAGATAAGTCAAACTAATTTTTAAAAAATCAAACCAGTATATGCAGCTACTATAAACCAATCGATTCCTTTGCACTCTTTTTATGTTCAAAGAGAGAGACGATAATTCGTATGTTAGTACGTGTTCATCCGGGTATCTTCATGAAACTTTACATTGAGGGAGCTGTAATCACTTCCGCTAGGAGAGTATTCCAATTATGGGCAACTCTAGATGAGGAATTGTGCGAACGCACTTGTAAGTTCACTGCTTGATGTTTAATTTTTTGACGGTTACTTCGAGGAGCGTAGTGGTGATATTTTGGCAAGATGCTCAAGTTGGAATACTAGGTTGTTAACTTCACCTAGTCAGGTTTTAGGTTTGAATCTGAAGAATGTGAGAAATCAAAGTGAAAATGAACATTTTTATTTGCTCGCAAATAGTACGTATAAGTAAGTACCTCATTAGAGTCACATAGTGACATTAATGATAGCTTCAAGACCACTTTGACAATTTCGATTTCGGTTTGTACGTCTGTCGATCTATTTCAATCCCTGAAGAATGTTTGCCATAGAAGATCCAGCTTCTGCTTGATAAACGTCCACTGATGAAGCTGATATCACTTGTTTGGGTAAGGTACCCCAGTCATCCACCACCCGATGTGAAAAACGTAATCTTACTCTGATTTTATTGGATGGTGGATTTGAACATTCTTGCATTTGCTTCAATGTTCATCATATCTGGAGATAAATGAGAGATAAGACGTATTAGAACTCCAAATCAGTTTTTCAAGATACTGAAAGCCAAAATAAGATCACCTCGCATTCTATAATGGGATAAGAAGAGATTTGGACGTTTTAAGTGCAAATCGTAGAAGAGTTTTTAAATACCCGTCACTGGCTAAGTTCCCATAGAAAAGACATGCTCAAGTGCGATTGTGTAATTAGTCATGCATGCACCAGCTGCCTGACTCCAGTACTCTACGAGGGTTCCCACAGAGGTGGGATATGAAGCATGAAAAATATCCTAGCCAAGGCATTTTGATATTTAGGGAAGCTACCAAAACACTTGAAAACCCTTGAAGGCTGCTTGGTTCCAATGTGCTGTTGTTTTCAGGTAAGAAATCATTACTACTGTCAAGTCTTTTTGTGCCTACATGCACGATAGCCATCTTCTGTTGACAGTATATTGATAAATATTGTCGTATCCGATCTGCATTAACACATTCTTTCGACAGATAACCCCTTCAATGTACACATACAATTAAACGTCCATTGTATGCCAGCTGCCTTCCGTATGCATAGCGGCTCCTAGCTATAGTCTTTTTACCTATATTCCGAATCCAAGGTCGGCTTCCACTGCAACGCGAATTCCGAATAAATTAGTCGGCTTTCTTCCTTCCACAGTGACAAGTTCTCAGTCGTGAGGCTCACAACTGTTGGTGAACAAGTTGTGTCAGATCTTTAGCTTGAGAGTGGTAGGCGGTCATTCCAAATCGCGTGCTTCCTAGGAGTGTAGTAAGACAGCTGAAAAATCCAGATTCGAAATGGCGTCCGCAATCTGTAGTACTGGTTGAGAAGCAGCCGAAGTCTGCTACCCATCGTTCGATGAAGGAGCTGACCACCGTTTAAGAGGTAATATCCTCGATAAACACTGCTTCTGGTCACTGAGTGGAAAGACCCATACATGTAAGGAGTCATGAGTATCCGTTCGGATCTAGTAGATGTCCTATCAAATCACTCTGAACATGGTTGAACCAAGTTTCAGGAATTGATATAGTCCTAGCACACTCACTTTGCCGTCAGCTTGGTAGTTGCTTGGAAACCTGCATGAGGCATCTTTCGCAGCGCATTAAATATATCAATATTAGTCATTTCTCAGTATGATTGTTTCCTTATTTGCTCCCATCTGTTTGACTCGTAGTTTCAGGTTTGCCGATTATAAATTAAGCTGAAGATAAGTGTTCTCATGGAATTTAGGTCCTACTCACTGTAAACTGTTCAAAGCAGTCAGATAAAGGCGTCCGCAACTACATTTTTTGAACCGAAAATACTTTGTATAACTGGAGTAAACACCCGAGATATATTCCGATGTTCCAGTAAGGAGATTACATGTCAGTAGTAGGGCTACGAGGAAAAGTTAACGGTTTATGGTCTGTGAAAGAATGGCTTCTCGACCTTCCACAAGTAGCTTAAAGTGCAGTACAGTACAAAACATACCCCGAAGTTCATCGACGTAAGTGCTATATCTCGATTCAGCTTCCTGCAACCGTCTGTAGAAGAATTATAAAGGTTTTCAGGTATTGTTTACTCATGATTGTAAGATTCCTCCGGCTGATGAGTCTGATTCGTTTACTACGATGTCAACAAGTGTTTCGGTGTTGATATGTGCCGACATAGTTTAATTAACGATGGTTTCTTTCATGATGAAAAGCACTTTCTTCTGAGTGTCGTCCAAATTAATGGTGTTCGTATTTCCGTGTGGCTGATCTGTAATGTGTCTCAAGAGAGGAGCACTATTTGGTATCAACCGTCCATAAAACTTGCAATTTATCTGGTTGCGTGCAGTTGCCCGACTGAGGTTGGTCTAGGGTAATACATAACATATGCCCTATATTTTCTGAAAGGCGGATACCCTAAGTGTCGTTTATATGCCCAAGAAAGTGCAATTGACATTTATTTATTTTTACAATAATACCATGCTTTCGAAGTCTCTGGAAAAGAAGGTCTACATGCTGAAGATGAGATTCTCTGTCCGGAACCGCTATTCAACAGTCATCAACATAAGCATGCACTAAGTTCAGACCCGTAAAAAAGTCATTAATGAACAGCTGAAAATTTTAAGCAGCATTTCTAAAACCAAAAAGCATACACGAAAATTCGTAGACTCCGAAGGAAGTGATGATAGCCATTTTAGAAAATCTTCAGCAGCTATGGGGATTCCATTAATCGCATACCCAAGTGGATTTTTCAAACGGAATGTGTACCTTTAAAGGTAGCTTTCAAGTCGTGAATATAGGGCAGCAGGCATCGATCTGGTGTGGTTTTTGTATTCAGTAGTCAACGATCCCTGGTCGGATGCAAATTATTGCTGTTCTTTTTTAATACCGTATGTGACGGTGATGTCTATGGGCTGTTTGGTGATTAGATTAGTCGTGAATTCACCAAGTGGTCGAATTCGTTTTTGGGAAATCTTAGCTTCACAGTATCCATTCTTCAGGCTTTTGATAAAACAGATGGTCCTGAAGTCATGATGTGATGTTCAACGTGTCTGGTTGCACACGGTAAGTGTGGTCAAATTCAGTACAGATTATGGTACCTGTTGAGATCGGTTGAAAGAACTAGTTGACTATGTACTAATGGTTACTGCGCATAATCTACAAACACAGAATGAAACTATATAAACATTTACTTTAGTACTACCATCTGTTAACTTCTGTTTGGTATGATCGACCCGCAGGTGATGGTGTTGAAGCAGATGATCGACACTAGCACGTCTGCTAAACGGAAATCCAGTGAAAAGGTCTCCGTTGATCCACTTTTAGGTAAACGTGCATTTTCCCAATTCTAAAGATCAGTTTTCCGTTTCCGCATGTAGATTGAAGACCACTTATGTAAACGATTATTATCGTTTCCTCTGAAAGGGCTCTAACTTCTACGCCAGTGCTGACGAAAATGCGAACTATCGCCATCACGCCAGTGATGTAAAAATACAGGTTCTGTTAAGCGGCGACGGTCACTCTCAACATGTACTGGAGGAGGAGTGTCACGAAGTGTTTTTGAAGAAGGATTAATAGTTAGCAAAAGTGCTCAGTTCCCAGAACACTCGAGAAGATTTGCTTTGGGTGTTGTGGTACCAGAAATAGATCTTTCTCCTGATGGGCTTTGTCGATGAGTCTTTCATCGAACACGATTTTGCTGAAAATTTAGGGAGCCAGTTATTGTATTGCAGAGATCCGTAATTCCGTTTTTTGAACAACAGAATATACCTGGAAGCTGGTGGTCCTTATAATCTTTAGAATCCACTTAAAGCTGGTTCGTCTACGATGTCACCTTGAACCAAGATGAATAGAGTTTGCACTTGTTGAAGATGTTGGAATAGAACGAGTTATCAAAAAATAGGTAAGTCAAAAGTTCGTTGACCAGTGACTTCTATCATAAGGAGTAACACTTCTGTTGCCAATTTATGTTTTAATTCAATGCTGTTGAATAGATGGTCTAAACTTTATCGATCACTAAGTTTTCTATGTTTAAGAAATGCCCTTTTCAGAACATGGTATGGTCCTGGAACGTCACCGGTAAGTATACAAAGTGTAACGTCCTTTCTCAAATCATACAGCAGTACCTGTCGGGAATTGTGAATGTGAATCTGTCATGTACTTGTGGAAGTCAGCCTCCTCGTAGCAGAACCAGTAGTCCATGTTCTTGAGTCATATGAGCATGAGCTAAAAATTGGAGGGAAGCGCAAGGGTCTTAATTTCAAACGACTCGAGAGTACAATTCGACACAAAAATGGTATATATAGCACTAAGTACTCAATCATTATCTAGTTTAAACGCATGACCAAGAGCTTTCAACCCTGGAGTGTCCAGTAAAAAAAATTAGGTTTGCACCAAAATTGAAGACCGAACGAACTAGTTTTTCTAGTGATTTATTAACCACTGTACCACCATTTCGGAAGTTTCTTAGAATAATACTTACTTACTTACTTATTTACTTACCCTTGTTACCCTCAGTATAGCATATGCCGTGGACCAGTGTACCCGAACGTAATCTGTCTTGGGCTTCCCTTTCCAGCTCTGCCCAATTTTCGTTCATTCTTCTCATGTCTTTCTATATTTCTCGGTGTAATGCGTTCCTTAGCCTTCGTCTTTTACTTTAACCTGTAGGGTTCCAAATGAGGGCTTGTAGTGTGATGCAGTTTGGTGTTCTCATCAATGTATATCCTATCCACTTCTAACTCTTCTTCTTGATTTTTTCCTCCGCTGGAATCTGGTTTGTTCTCTCTCACAG